GTGCCATCATAAATTTATAACACCTCACTTCATGCCTGTACGGTCCTCTATTCTTATCAGAGCAAAGCATTGGCTTCTTCCTTTCTGAAAGTTACAAACTTGGTTGCTGGAAAAGAAAGACCATGCGGTAACTCTCGGATGACTCCTGGGACCTGCACTGTAATCCGGTACAGTGCAGCAATTGGGTAGCCCTCCTAAGAAAGCAGCAAAATTATTGTGCTGCTTCCTAGAAAGATAGGAGCTGTAAGGCTGGAGCCACCTAGTCCCAGTGTCTTGGGTCTCATACTGGCCAGCAAGATGTTCCTGGCCTAAAATCTGATAGTAGGCAAACCAGTGCAGCAGGAGATTTTCCTGATGTCATTATTGTGTCTTGAGAAGCCAGTCATAAGGAATGTGGGAAGGGATCTGAATGGATGAGTGATGAAGAGGTTGAGTTGGGGTGGGGTTTTCTTGTGCAGCTCTGTGGTTGCAAAGATAAAGAAGACTTAATGGAAAGAAAAAGTAAATCCCCAGAGCCACAGAAGACATGAGAGGAGAAGTAGACCTAGTTTTCTAAAAGCTACTAGAGGGATTGAAGGCTATCTAATTCACAGCTCACCATTTCTGGGCAATGGCGCCTTTGGAAGAGCCTTCACAGAGCAGATGAGTTGCCTTTTAAAATACAAAACTTCATGAGCTCTCTTGAATTCAGCTCCAGAGAGGGTTTGCTCAAAAATAGTTTAAATTGCAAGAAGCAGGCAGTGTACCATGTGCATCTATTAGCTTTTCTCATAGGTAAAGCACCTATTTGGTATATTTTTTTCCTTTGCTGAAGAGTATCCTATGGGTGAAGGTTAAATCAGTGGAAGTGGTCAAATTCTAACAAAGTATATAGGGTGGCTGAAACCTGTAAACTTTACATCTTTGAGCAAAATCCATGCCATTTCTCAAGGAGGGTAAAGCATAGGGGTGAAAATTTAAGTTACTTGTCTTCTGCCCTCTAGGGGCTCCACTTGCAGTATTTGATACTCTCACTGCTGGGATGAATAAGGTGCCATCTGGCTCGGACGTACTGGCTCAGCATTGTCGCACCATAGAGCAAAAGCATAAGATCCTGCATCCCTCCTTCTGCAGCAGAGTGAATTCTAAGCAGATAAGTGTTTGTAAAATGATTATACAGCAGAAGTCTGCCATGCTTGGAGCTGTCTGCTATCAGTAAGCCAGGTAGCGACATCACAAGGGGGTTTCTTCAATCATCTCACATTTTATAGGTGGAATAGGCAGATTTCTGCAATATGTCCAGTCAGCTCAGTGTAAATGGGAGATCCCCAGGCATGCAGCATACTTTTGTAATGCACTTTTGCTTTTCAGCCCCCATCCTGTAGGGAGGATGCATGTTCTGTGAGCATGAGTTTCTTCTCTAACCTTCTGGTGACAACTTTTCTCTTCTGTTACTGACACTTTGACTCATTATAGGGATGCTGATCGTGGTGGACTAAACTCTTCCTACTAAACTTCTTCCTCCTATGTTCGAAACTACACAATAACCCATTTTTAAATTTACAGCACTGTCTGGATTACGTCTGCCTGCTTAGGATAAATTAAATGCCATGTATTTATGGCGAGAAAACTAAAGCATTCTTCACCAGGGCTTGCACTGCTATACCTGTTGGGTTTCACCCATTAGGAGTGGTCCGTATTCTCTCATTTGAAGAGAATGTTTCTCAGAAGAAGTGCATTTCAGCTATCAGGGAAGGAAGCAATCAGGATCTAGAAACTAGACAATTCAAAGTGAAGAAAAGTTTCAGCAGAGAGGATAATTAATCATTGGAATGGCTGTATATAAGGTACAGCATCATCTCTGGCATTTAAAATCTATCAAGAATGAGCATTTTTCCAAAGGATGTTCCTTCACATGTTGGTCTTGGTGCTCAATCACTGGAAAAAATTTATAGCCTGTGAGATAAGAGGTCAAATTCTGTAAATACAGTGTTCCCTTATCACTTCAAGATCTCTTATTAATAATTATCTCTCTGAGGTGAGGATGGGAAAGAGTACCAAGGAGATGTTGATCTTCTACTGTCAGTGAAGCCATTCATCAAGTCTGCCACAAATATGGCAACAGTTAAGCACTGCTGCTCATAAATGTTTCCACAGTGTCAAGTGGCTCAGTGTCCAGCAAAACAACTATCCTTGAATGCCCCCCCACCCCCCACCCCGGTTGTTACTGGGAGCTATTTTTTTGCGTTAAAAAATTGATAGAACAAGACATTTACTTCTGGTTTCATTTAATTATTGGTTAATAGTCGTGACACAATTGCAGTAATACCTTCTTCAACTCAAATCAACTGAGTAGTCAAAACCAGTAACCTTTGCAGTGACATTTTTCTTTTAGGATTGAGGAAAGAAAAAGATATGATTGCTTGGTTAATCTGATATTTCCAGTATGCCTAGGTGAGGTACTTATGCTCATTTAGAACTTGCTTGTTGCTGTTTTAATTTTCAATCTGCAATGCATTGTATGCATTATAATTCCAGGAGAAAGATGGGCTGGGAAGGGCTTTTCAAATATGCAGCTTCAGTTAGTTGGCAGTAAAGATAAAAATCCACCTTTTTGTCTGTATAGTAGATGGCAAATGTGATCATCACTTAAACACTAAATTCTCTTGTCCTTTCTCGAGACATGAATGGCCCAATACTATGTGAACCACTAGAGAGGACTGCAAAGCACCTCTTGTAACATAAACATGAAAACCTATTCCTGTGTGCCACCTACTCCAAACCGCACTAGAGGCCCATACAAGGGCAGCTCCATGGTCACTTTGAGAGCATTACTTTTGTGTTTTCAATGTACAGTCACTGAGAAGCCTGTCACAGGGTAGAATACAGCTCCTGAGCGTCCAGCTCTCACTGTGAGAGGCTTCTAATGGGGATACAGGCAGAGGCAAGGATTTGGAAAAGAAAAATATAACATGGGGAAAAAGGAGCATTCCCTCTTTACATCTTTAAGAAAAGTTATTATGTTGTGAAACACAAATCTATGTATCTCACATGGAAGAGCTCTGTGTATCCATGGATTGTAATTACCTTCTTGGAATACTTGGTATGTTAGAGCATGTGTTAGGCCTGCAAGAAAATTGAATTAATCTTAAATTACTGTTTCAGTCTAGGTCTTGCAATTTTCTCATTAATGTTTCACAAAAAAAAAATATGCTTGAATTATTTCTTTGGAGGGGAACAGAGAAGGGCTTCAAATTACGTCTGAAGATCAACTTTGAAAGATATTGGAAGATTAACTTTTCTCTGGCCAGTCAGAAATGCATGTGCTCTCCATTAGCTGAATACAAATCCAGACAGAATAGATTGAGAACTGAAAATATTTTTTGAGTTGAAAGAAGCTCATGGAAATTGTTATGACTGATGTTATCTTTCGTAGTCGATCTTAATACAACCACTGGCTTACTATTTCCTTTCAGTTTTAGTATAATGCAACAGAACTAAGTGTTTTTAAAAGTTTTATGCAGCAGGCTGAACTTTTAAGAAGTCACAAACATTACTTCAGTGACTCGGTTTTGTTCTCACTTGGTTGCATTTAGGCTCTTAAGTCACGAATGTCACCATTTGAGAGTTTTGGTATTGTTCTCTTTGGGATACATTCAGAATTGGATCATCTTTTAATTGTATTTCACCACACTTTGGTGTATCTGCAAGCATGTGTTCAAGAAAGTCCATTGTCCAAACCATAAATGGCACTGCAGGTAAGGACAGAGGTGCTTTAGAAGAACTGTAGGTCACTTTGAGCTGGAATGGTAAAGTGTGTGCGCTCAGCATTAGCAAACCTGTGCAAATGTTTGGGGCTGCAAACATTTTTTGGAAGTGTATTTAGATTCCAGGTGCACAGCAAAACACAGGATGGGCATTGTCTGTTGTATTCTCTGTATATAAATTTCCTGTAGTCAGCTCTAAGCTATTCACCGCTCAGATGAACAAATAGAAATACTTCCAAAATGTGTAAAATATGCTTTAACCACTTTAATTGTTATATAAAAACACCTGTAAGAATTAGGACCCTGTAATGACACCAGCCCAGAGAGTGTAATTAATCTCAGGAGTTTGCTGGAATTGCCAACTGCAGCTTTGTAGGTGTTTGGTTTTGGTTTTTTTTTAATTACCCATAAAGAAATATGGCAGAATAGCTTCCAGAGAATGTAAGCTAAAGTGGTCAAAAGTTGTTAAGAAGCTTTTAAGTCCAGAATTCATGGTTTAAGCACTTAGACCACATCACAGAGCTGATACTAAAGAAGCCAGTAAGTACTGTAAAATGACCTAGTAAGCTTCAGCAAGACTTACGATAAATTTTGTCAAGTCTTACTGATTTTGACTAGCATTTAAACTCTTGGGACATTTCAGGGCTGTAGAAATAATATCTCCAACTCCAGTCTCAGATGAGCATTGGCATAGAGGAAGCCTTTCTTGCATTTACGTAGAACGGAGCAAAGCAAGCATCCAGGCACTGACAGCAAGTTAGCAGGATCTGAGCTCTCTTGTGGTCTATGTCACTTTTGAAAAGAGAGACCAGTGCTCTTTGCTCTTTTATAATTTTAAATTTTTTTTTTTTTTTTTTTTTTTTGCTAATTTGATACTTATGTTGTTGGGGAAGAGGGTTCCTCGGTTGATGGGTTTCTTTTTCCACAGAAACAAATAAATAGGTAATAATGCCTCTTGCATAGTAAATTCACAGGCTGTCAGAGCGCTTTGGAAACAATTGATCCCTGGGATAATATGAAAGCGGAAGGAGAAAGCATGTCTCGAGCAATTTGCTGCAGTGTTTCTGAAGGCGGGGCGGGGGGCAGGAGGTGTAAATATTTAATCTGACAATCTGTGGATTTGACTTTTGTTAGGACAGGTGGTATAGTAAAAGTGCAATAAGAAAGTACTTGAGTTTGGATTGGGGAACCATCCTCTGCAGATTGTGTGTGAAGGTTATGGAGGAATTGGCTAGAAAAAGCAATTGTAGAGACATGGGTGAGAAAGGGTGTGGTTGTAAATCAGTGTGCCCTGCAGAGGCAAATGCCATTTTAGTTTTCTGCTGATGTCAGAAGTGCAAACTGGGAAATGATAGCTTTTCTTTTAAAAATGGTTATTACAGAAGAGCGAGGGGGGTCTAGTTCTCTCCAGCCTCTATTTATTGCAATTAGTTACATCAGTGCAGGCTCAGTAAAAAGATCTGCTGTTGTGATTCAGTAGCTTTTTTTTTCCACTCTCATTTAAGTGAGCACACCAGTGGTCCAGCAACCATAAAACATAAGCGACATGAAAAGTACAAACACCAGTCTGCATGACAAGTGTAATGTCCCTTTTCAATTATGCTCTTTACATCAACGTTTCACAGGACCAGCCTGCCTGTTTGCCACATACCCTATCTCAACATTTTCCAGGTGTTTCACATGAGTGTTTTACAACAACAATAGCAAGGAAAGGGGCATTGCTCCAGGATATTCTTGGGAAAGGGCGGGGTCGTTTTCGCTTAGCCTCCAACTCCATTCCGGCACACACAAAAATGGTAGCTATATCAGTGAAAACTAACTACTAAACGCAAGAAATACTTGGGCCTTGCAAATATTTGTACCCTAGACACACAGTCTAGGCGTCAGAGTGAGGCTGGTACCCTGCCAGCTGAGTAAATGAAGTGTTTTCCTGATTTTGATGAGTACTTTTTCCCTAATTATTTTTTTTTTTTTACAATTAAACATAAATCCAACATTGTTTCAGGGGAACCCAGCGCACCCAAACTGGAAGGACAGATGGGAGAAGATGGAAACTCCATTAAAGTGAATGTTATCAAGCAGGATGATGGTGGCTCCCCAATTAGACATTATCTGATCAAATACAAAGCTGTAAGTATGACTGACACTCAAGCCTGTTTTGTATTTAGCCTGTTCAGTACTCAGGCTTCGCTATACAAGCAGACAATCCTGAAACTAAGATCTTGTAGATAGGCCAGTACGGGAATACGTGCTAAGCAGGAAGTGTATATGCAGAGGGGGTATGAGACGTGACATGCACAGAAGCAACGTACAAAATCTTTGTCTCATTTTCTTCCCTTTCACTTAGACTATGAAACGTTTTTTCTCCATGCTCTCTTCTGTAGAACTCTTGAGCATATGATAATTACATGCATTTAGTATTATTTCATTTCATATACTTCCGAGATGGGATTGCCCCCAATAACTTAAATAGCTGGATACTAGAGGTTCATAATTAGAGCATTGCCCACTTTCAGACATGTATCTAATCGTAACTTTCCATTGGTCATTGAAACTGCCATATTTGATTGAGTAATGGGTGCTTCAGTACCAAATTATTCTGCAGATTATTGAATAAGACATTTGGTGTAGTCAGTATAGACACAGATAAAGTGAGAGATGCTATTGGAAGCAGTTCCCCTTTAGGCCTAACTTAATCAGCTCTTACCGTAGATTACCCAGGATTGCAAGATATATGATTCTCTGAGCAAAACATCTAGCCCTAGTCTTGGGAAAGAACATCTATGTGATGAGCAGCTAGTATTGTTGTAAGCTGAATGTGGCCCTTGTGTTGTCTTAGGTGGTATTCGATGTTTTTTTCCTATGATGGGAAAAATAAGGGGGGGAAAAACGCAAACAACAAAAAAACACCCACTCAGAGAGATTGCTTAGCACATCCTCGAGGAATAAGACCTTGAGGGAGCGTCACTGAGAGTATGAAGCGGGAAGAATTGCCAGAAGTTACTGAAGCTTTTTCTGTTGTCTGCACACTTTCTCATTCTTAATACACCTGGGGGCAGCTCAGCTGTACCAGTGTGTTTGAGCTGAAATATGGAAGCTTTCCAGCTCTTAAGAAAGCAGGACACTCTCTCAGTGGCTGAGTCTGGCAGATGTGGTGCTGAACTAATTATGTATTGGCTGCTAGTAATCTTTTCTTTATATGCTACAAATGAACAATCCTCAGAGTAAAGTCACAGAGCAAACTTTGAACTTCAGTCTAGAAATCCCATGAGTATTTGTTACCACCATCATTTTGTGCATTGTAGGTTACTTAGAGCTTCTTAGAATGGGAAGTGTCTTTGGAATGTCAGAAGGACAATCTAGTATCACAGAACCATAAATTCCAGCAGAATTCCATTCTGTTGGCACACTCCAGGCCCAGAAAACTGCCTAAGTCTGTCTCAAGGTACCTTGGCAGTGGGTTTTTCAAATTTGCCTGGGTGGAATGTACATCTGGATTTCCTGAAACTGGAGTAGGAATTATCAAAGTTACTAGTTGTGTGCACCTTTTAAAACCTCTCTTAAACGGTGCAGAATAGAATGGTAGTGGTAAGCTAGACCAGACCCATGTTAAGAGGTAAATCTATGTCTCAGATTCTTTAAATTTGACATGCTAAGACATGAAGTGCTTTCCAGGCCAGAGACGTACAGAAGTTGCAGCTTTTCCTCTCTGAAATGGAAGTAGTCTAGTGATATGGCAAAGATGAGAGGAAGAACAGAGGGATTTTCTTCAGGTGTGGTAACACTGTAGAGAACAGGATTCTCAGCAGCAAAGAGGCTCCTTTGGTATCTCTTGTCCTCTCCACTTAGAGCAAACAGCACATGATGTTTTGCATCCCTGAATTAGCTCAGGAGCATGTGCTTGTGTAGAACTCTCCCTACTTTTCCATTTGTTAGTTAGCCCTTACAGTATTCTCAAAGCTGGCTACTAATGTTGTGCTGTGTGTTTTGCATCCCTGCTTGTCATCTCGCTGCTCTGCAGAAGCATTCCTCAGAATGGAAACCGGAGATCAGACTTCCATCTGGCAGTGACCACGTCATGCTCAAGTCCCTGGACTGGAATGCGGAGTATGAGGTTTATGTGATAGCTGAAAACCAGCAAGGGAAGTCCAAACCAGCTCACTATGCTTTCCGAACTTCTGCTCAGCCTACTGTCATCCCAGGTACAGCAGTCATAAGCTTTACCATTGTTTTCTGCTTCCAATTAATGCAACAGTGCTGCCTCCTTTAATGTGCCTGAGTAACCCTGACAACTTGCTTGCTTAAAGCCATTATCACAATTGGTTACCCATCCAAAGCTTAGTTTTTGCCATGTACATATCTGTACTGTAGTCCATGTTACAGTATGTACAGCATTAGCAGTACACCGTTAGGAATGCTACGTTACAAATCCTTGTCTGAGTGTTTACAGGGGATGTTGGCTTTTTGTATCAGGATTGCCAGGTGAGAAAAGCAGTGGATAGAAAACGCTTTCTGAAACCAGAAAGTGGGAGTCCCACTATAACCTAAAGCAAAAGAGACCATTCAGAACTCTGGCGTGAAGCTTTTCACAATGCAGCTTTCCCTTCCAGATCTGTGTTAGGCTTGCTTACTGCTCGTTTGTCCATCTAGCTCAGCCTTTGGAGAAATAAAGGCATAAGGAGTTTGCTAGCGGTTGGAAAGGGAGGGGCTTAAAATCTTTCTCTGAAGATTTTTCGTTAAATGAAATGGAGATCAAATTACAGTAATTTTAAAACAGCACTGTTTTAATGTTGGGTAGGGCATGAGGGAAAAGTAACGAAATAGCATGAGAAAGCTGCTGGAAATTTTTGTTTCAGACAGACTGTACTTACTAGCATGCTTAAAAAGTGAGGTAGAATCACAAATGCTACGAAAAACAAGCAGACTCTATTACCTGAGATGCTAGGAATTTAGAGGTTTGCTGAAAGGTGTTGGAAGGACAGTTAGTATTTCTTTTCTACACAGGTAGCAGTGGTGCACATTAAAGAAAAAAAAAACAAACAAACAAACCAACCACAAAAAACCACAAACAAACAGAAAACCAACCAACCAACCAAACCAAACCAAAACACAAAAAAAAAACCCAAGACAAAAAAACGAAAAATAAAAAGCAAACCAAACAAAACCCCAAAGATGAAATTGCTGGACTGCCTGCAAATTAAAGTTCTGATTGGTTAAAGGCAGATGGACAAACTTTAAAACTGATGAGTCAGTCAAGATAAGTCCTCACTGCACAGCCAGAGTTAAACATGTTCATGCCATGATTGATGCTGATATGGAAGGGAGTGATTTGATTTCATTCTGTCTTCTGGATTGTTAACTCAGTCTCATGTTTTTCTTCAGAACAACTAGAGAGTTTTCTTCACTCTTTC